GGTTCAGGTGAGCCCTTTGTGTTTGCTGGTCAGAATCTTGACATATCAGCTTTATGACGAAGGTCCATTTCAGGACATTGCCTTCTCGCGCTGCCAGCTTGCCACCTTCGGCCCAACTGACTTCGCTTGAATTTGCTAGCTGCGCCTGAACCCTGCTTTCTTCATGTTTTGCTCAAAGACTCTGTCCAAGCAGGCGCATTTCCAGCAAACGGCCATTGGAATTGATTCAGTGTTGCTGGCTGTTCGGGCTGCATTTGCAAGCATGGCAATTGGTGCAGCCAGGCAAAGCGCAGAAGGCAAGCAGCGTTGCACTATCCGAAAGAAGTTGAACACCATCGCAGATTGCAGATTGCAATGGTGCTTATAGGTCTGTTCGGGTGAGCCCTTGGCCTTTCCCGGCATCGAATACTGGATCAAACAACATGTTCATATGTGAGCTCTTTACATGTTCTGCCACGCTCCCTGTGCAGGCTGCGGGCAAGGGCAGTGGCCTCTAATGTGGCATGCCTGGCGACTTAGACCAAGAGGACTGCCCGAACCCTGCTGGCTATCGTGAGTTAGTTCAGTGTTGCTGGCCGAATGGGCTGCTCGTGCGCCCTAGTTTCCCATAATGCCAGTCCGCTCAGGTGAGGCCTCGGTTGCTGTCGTCCAATACCCAAGACCTGACCAATGAGCTTTATAATGTGGGCCTGTCACATGTTTCGCAGTGCTCTCTTGTGTCAGGTTGGATGCCTGAGCTGCATCTGCGCACAACTTGAACGGTAGATATTTGCAGTGCAAGTGCCAATCAAGCCCCGTATGTGACGTTGTCCTGCCTAGCTGACTGCCTCGGCTTGCCCAAGCTTCGCCTGAATCCTGCTTCGCTGAGTTTATTTAGCGTTGGTGGCAGTTCGGGCTGCGTTTGCAAGCATGATTGTTGGCGCCCCAAGGATGTTGGCGGTGCGGGGGGTAAGCAGCGCTCGCCGTATGTACTATTGGAAAGAGCTTGACAACAACACAACTCGGTATGACGCCTATCCGTTTGGGTCAGCCCTTGTCGCATGCTGCTGTCGAGTACTTGATCCACGAACGTGTATGTGAGCTTTTCACATGTTTTGCCACGCTGCCTGTGCAGCAGGTTGTGTCCAGGGGCAGGGCCCTCTAGTGCAACCAGCTTGCCACCTTCAACTGACTGTTTCATCTTTGCCCGAACCCGGCTTTCCAGCTTGTTCTTCTAGTGTTGGTGGCCGTTCGGGTTGCGTTTGCAAGCATGGCACTTGAACTGCGCTTCCTTCTGCGAGTGTATTTAGCCGTTTGGGCGGCTTTTGCAAGAGTAGCGGCTCGCGCCGCACAGACTTCTGCATTGCTGGAAGTTGGCTAGGAACGAACTAGCCTGCATGTGCTCGGAATAAGCTTGACAGCCACGCATTTTGGATTGCCTCTCCGTTTCGGTGAGCCCTCGGCGCTTGCGCTGATTGGCCTCGAATTGATCAAAGACTTTGACATCCAAGCGGACTGCCCCTGACTGTCCCAGCTTTGGACAAACTCGGCTGCCCACCTTGAGTTTGTTCAGTGTTGCTGGCGGCTTAGGCTGCATGTGTAAGTATGGCGCTCGAACTCTGCTTGTCGTGAGTGAGTTTCAGTGACTTGCGCCGCAGGGATATCAGTGGCCTTGTGCACCCTCAGTATCCCACAGTGCGCTCAGAGGTGCCTCGGTTGCTGGCGTCCAATACCCAACACCTGACCAATGAGCTTCTCGGCCTGCACATGTTTCGCGTTGCTTTCTTGTCAGCAGGTTGGATGCCAGGGCAGTGTGTTTTCGTGCAGCACGCCGTTGCACGAGGCCGCTTGGGCTGCAGCTGCGCATGGACCAATGGACGTTTGCAGTGCAAGCGGGTAGTCAGCCCCGTATGTGACATCATCCTGCCGGCTTGCCCAAGCTTTGGCTGAGCCTTGCTTTTTTTAGTGTATTCAGGGTTGGTGGCAAGAGTGGCGATTTGCGCCACACGGGTGTTTGCAGTGCACAAGGCGTGCCGTATGTACTATTGGAAAGAGCTAGACAGTTCTGTGCGGGTGAGCCCTTGGCAGTTGCTAGCATCGAGTACTTGATCCATGAGCACACATGTGAGCTTATCACATGTTCTACTACGCTGCCTGTGCAGGCTGTGTGCAGGGGCAGGGCCGTCTAGTGCGACCAGCTTGCGACCTTAGACTGACTGTTTCATCTTTGCCCGAACCCGGCTTTCCAGCTTGTTCTTTTAGTGTTGGCGGCTGTTGGGCTGCAGCACTTGAGCTTCGCTTCCTTCCTTGATTTTATTTAGTCATTTGGGCTGCCATTGCAAGCAGAGCGGATCGCGCGCAGATTTCTGCTGTGCGGGATGTGGGCGGCGTATGGCTATTGACGAAAACAACTTGACCCAGCTCCCAATTATGCCACTCTGATTGGGCGCCCACACCGTCTGTCAATGTGCTATCGTAAAGAACTTGACAACCCAATTCGCAAGGATGACTGTCCATTCGGGTGAGCCCTTGCCGGTTGCCGGCATCGACTACTCGAACAAAGACCCTTGCAATGTGTTTGCATGCTGCTCGACATGCCCTGTACAGCACATGGCAGTTTGTGCCGCATGGACTCATACATGTTTGGGTGTAAAAAGGTAATCAGCGCGTACCTTACGTGCCTTCCTTCTGTCAGGTTATGTCTAGCTGACTTCCCCGGCTTGCCCAAGCTTCACCTGAACCCTGCTTCCCTTAGTGTATTCAAGGTTGGTGGGCATTCGGGCTGCATTTGCAAGCATGGCGATTTGCGCCACACGGTTCTTTGCAGTGCAGGAGGCAAGCAGCGCTCGCCGTATGTACTATTGGACAGAGCTAGACAACAACCCAACTCGCAATGACGCCTTTCTTGGCGGGTGAGCCCTTGGCAGTTTGCTAGCACCAAGTACTTGATGCACGACAACACATTGGAGCTGCTCATTGCTTTGAGGTTCCTAGGCTGAAACTTTGTTTTGTATGAACGAATTAGTGCTAGGTTCGCAACAGTTGTGTCATGGACCCATATTCCAAAGGGCAGGCTGACACCTCTGCCACAAGCGGCTCGTGCCGCATGTATCAGTGAGGCAAGGGCGCGGTGCCATATGTACAAAGTAAAGCAGCTCGGGTGAGCCCCTGGTGGTTGCTGGCATCGACTGGATCAAGCATCATCATTTGTGAGCTTTGGACACGTTCAGCCTTGCGTGTGTGTGAAAGAGCAGGCCTTCCGCGGTCAATTTTCCCACTTGCAAGCTTTGATCATATCCTTATCTAAAGCCTGGTGAGCAATGACCGTGCGCCCACACAAGATGCAGGCTTAAGCCTGTGCAAATTGATTCGTTGGCGTGTTTCGCTACAAAGTCCTGCAAGACTTTCGCGCGGCAATGGCGAGCGACAACTCTGCTTCCTTGAGTTTTTTGAGCGGCCGTGAATTTTGAGAAGCCACCTCAAAAGTGGGTGGACATGAATCCTCACCATGTCCACCAGAGGCTCCCTTAAAATTCATGCCCGAGTGATGGTAGCCGCTGCCGCTCTTCGCATGACCGAGTCTTGCCGCAGGAGGCGATCGGTCTGGCAGGTCTGTCAGTCCCCATCGCAACGGTTTTCTTTTCGAACACAATGGTGTTTTGCTGCCCTCTGAGAGGAATGCGCAGCTTGTCCCCGCAAACTGTACTGCATGGCACTGTGCTAAGCGCCGATAAACTCCGATGTGTGGCAGACAAGAACAGATGGGTCTGTCTCGGTGATCAGATGTGAACTCCAGCCTGTGCACGTGCGTGTTTGTGTGTGTTTGTGGCCAACTGAATTCCAAGCAGCATTGCCCAATCGCTTCTCACTCCAATGTTGGCTCACTGCACCTTCATGTGCGTTCTGCGGCAGCAAGGTGGCAGTCTGTGACCCTGCGATGGTCCTCGAATTTTCCACCCACAAGGGTCGCAATAGCCCATGCCAGTGGCCTGTGTTTCGGATTCAAAGCCACTTCAACATGTCTAGAAGAGAAGCACACCACAGCAAGGCTGTGGCGAGGCTCCGGCTGGCTGTCGGTCCAGGGTGGCACATAAATTGGGCCGGGAAAAGAAGCGGGTGTAAGGACGTGTGAGCGCCTCACAGCATTGGCCTCGAGGTTCTTGTGAGGCTTTCCTGCCCACTTTTGTCACTCCGACTGGTTACATTTTTAAGTGTAGTGCGTGGAGGTCATGTCAGACTGTGCTTGGCGCTCTGGCCAGAGGTCAGCGTGTTCGGAACCTGGAGTCTAGATCCACCTCAAACATTCTTAGACCCCTGACCAAAAAGGTATGCAGCGGTCCAACATCTCTGCACCGAGGCTCGAACAACATTGTACATCCTTTAGGGACTAGCCGGACGTTACCCTTGGGGTCTAGCTTGGGCTAGACATGATGCTTTTGAAGCGGACGCTTCTACAATGCACTCCTCGTTGAGCATCACCGTGTGCGGCTGTTGCAACGCGTCCTCCTACCCCTTCCGCAGCGCAGAGCTCAGCTGTCCTCGCGCCACTGCTACAGCGGCGCCAGCTTGTTGGATTGTGGCGGTGTCAGCGCCCTGCAACGTGCTCGCTGCCCGCTCTCCATGCCATGCTGACGTCTTCGTTCTTGTGTCCGCAGTGACTGCCGAATAAAGACATGTGGAAGCTTCCACGCAAAACGCTGCACAGTCAAGCTGGAAATAGACATGTTCGTTGGTGTCCCTTTCAAACAACCGGAGAAAAGATAGCCTGGGTCAGCATTGCTGGAAAGGATCAACGGATGCATGAAGATGCTGATTCGCTTCAGCTCTTCGTAGATCAACTTGCCTCTAATTGGTGGTTTTGTTTGGGTTTGTTTTTGGAAGTTAGGGGGTCACCTTTCCATTCGGTTTCAACAAAAATTATCAATCCCCAATCAATCTCCTCTGCGGAGGTGAGTAGATGGGCAAGCAAATGGGCGCTTGCAAGACCTACGAAATCGATTCCGGCGATCCCAAGAATGGTTCTAATAAACAAATGCTAGCATGTTCAGATGTCTCCAGACATCATCAAAAATACGTAGTTGGCGCCCTTTTGTTTGTCGTCCTTTGGTTGGTCTGCAGTAGTCCGCCAGTTGCGCCGCGACAGGCGCTGGCCACTTGAAGGTCGATTTCGCTAACAAAATGCCGTCGAGGTGCAGCGTGATCGCCCACCGCTTCCCATTGCTCTCCTCGCCGAAGTCGAGGGGAACTCTGCTGCGAAGCGGAAAGTTGAGCTCAGACTTCATGACCCAGTCGAGCTGGTCCTTGGTGATTGCTAAGTATTTGCCGACTTGCGCTTGTATATGCCAGAGACAACTCGCTAGCTGAGCTGGTCCAGCACCGTGCCGCAAGAACAGCCCAGGATTGCCTGCTATCGGAACGGCGGGTTCTGGCCGTACAGCATGCGTCAGGAAATACTTGTGTTGTCTCACTGGCGGAAAGTCCATCTATTGCAGCAGCGGGTGGGCGGTAGTAGCTTTTCTTTTTCAGTGGCAGCCCACCCGTTTGAGCAAAATTAGAAAGACGCTGAAAGCAGCAAGCTTTCAGAACACTTGGTGCCTGGATATTTGGGAGGATTTGTTCCTCTCTGAGTGAGTACCAGAGGGCCTGCAATATTTTCGGGCCGCATCCAGACAGATCAGGGCTCGGCGAGCGAGGCGGATTCAGACATGTCCTCAAATTCGGGAGTCTGATGAGAATCTCCCGCTCTGAAATAGCAAACTGGAAGTTTAAGATCGAGAGTGCAGAACGGCGCTTTTGGACAGTTTCTACAAGGCCCTGCTGGTGTGGGGTGGCTGTCCTGCTCAGGCTTGCCTCTCACGGACACGCCGAATGAATACCAGCAACATTGTGGCTCATTGCACACACCCGCGCACGTGCGCCCGCTTGTTGTGTCAGAAATGCACGCAAGACATATTTTCGCAGCAGCTTCCTACTTTTGGCCTGTGACTGACGCCCCCCTGTGTTGCAAAGTGCTCGGCCCTGGCGCCCTGCAGACACTGCGTTTGACCAGACGTGGTGGGTGGCATAGACGCAAACCTGTCTTGCTTGAAAATATAGTGCGCTGCAGATGGCCAAGCGGAACTTGAAAGCTATTTATGTGGCGCAGAGCGATGTGCGACACGGTTCGTGGGACCTGTATCCTTTCTTGGCCCTGTATATACCTCTACTCCTTGCTGGTGAGCCAAAGAGCTGCAAATTCCGCACGACGAAAGAAGCGAACGAAGACCGAGTAGCAGAATAATCTTGGCGTACATTGATTTATGATTAGTGGAAGTGCAATATATATATATATACTACATAGTATGATTATATTTTCCAGCACAATATGAACACGCGACATATAATACATATATATATATATGTTACATATGTATATGACACATGATATGTGTATATGTATACATAATATATATATATATATATATATGACGCGTGATGATTCATGATGTAAAAGGCTGAACATGTAGAACAGACGAGAACATGCATTTTTACTTGACTGGCTATGACTGAAGAGGAAAGCTCAATGGACTCTCTTTGTCTCCTTTTATCCATCTATCCCTCTCCCTCCCTCTATACAGAGAAAACACACATACATATAGGACGCCTATTTTTGCAAGGTATGTATGTCTGTTTGATGAATCAAAAAGCAATCTATTGGTTTTGAACAAAGTTTTTGTGACACTTGTTTTGGGCAGGCTCCTGTCGGTTCTCAACATTGTCGTTCTTTGAGAAGGGTACCAATAGAGCCGGCGAAGTCGGTGAGCGGAAGTTTCAAGAATACAAGAGCTTTCTCTTTCTTTTTCTTTCTTTTCTACTCTTGCTAGTTGCATTGTTCCCTTTTCCCTTTCTTTCTTTTTTTCTTTTTCTCATTCTTTATTGCTTTCTTTTCCTGTTCCATTCCTTTCATTCTTTCCTTATTTCCATCGTTCCTTTTTTGTTCGTTCTTGCTTTCTTGCTTCGTTCCTCTTCTTTGTTTCTTTAGTTCTTTGTTTCTTTCTTTCTTTCCGTCCTTTTTCCTTTCTTTCTTTTGTCCTTCTTTCTTTATTTCTTTCTTTCCTTCCTCGCTTCTTTCTTCCTTGCTTTCTTTCTCCTTCTTTTCTTCTTTCTTCTTTCCTTCTTATCCGCTGATTCTCATCTTCTATAAACCTCTATCTAGCTGTCTGTCTATCTATGTACCTTCCTATTTCTTTGTATCTACCTATCCATAAATTGATCAATCGATCGATCAGTCAATCAATCAATCAACAAACAATCAAACGCAATTGAAATCAAACTAAATCCAATCCAATCCATCCAATCCAAACCAACCCAATCCAATCCAATCCAATCCATCGATCAATCAACCAACCAATTAATCAATCAACCAATCAACCAACCAATCAGTCTATCAATCTTTGTACTTTCTATCTAAGAATCTAAGCATCGATCTCTCCAACTCTCTGTCGCTCTGTCTATCTATCTATCTATCTATCTATCCATCTACCTATCCATCTGTCTATCTATCTATCTAATCTATCTTCCCTTCTTTTTCGCTTTTTGTCTTTTTATCTATGAATATATCGATCTATTCATCCTAGATAGATAGATCAATCTAGTGATCTATATAATCACTCCATCTCTCTCTTTCTCTCTAGCTGTCTATCTATCAACCAATCAATAAATCTATCTATCTATCTATCTATCTGTCTGCCTTCTATCTAAGTATTTTTCTCTCAATATGTCTATTTATTGAACTATCTCATTCTCCATCTATCTTTCTATCTATGTAACTATCTTTGTAACTATCTATGTATCTTTCAATTGTCTGTCTATCTATCTATATATCTATCTATGTATGTATCTATCTATCTATCTATCTATCTATCTATCTATCTATCTATCTATCTATCTATCTATCTATCTATCTATCTATCTATCTATCTATCTATCTATCTATCTATCTATCTATCTAATCTATCTATGTATCTATCTATCTATCTATCTATCTATCTATCTATCTATCTATCTATCTATCTATCTATCTATCTATCTATCTATCTATCTATCTATCTATCTATCTATCTATCTATCTATCTATCTATCTATCTATCTATCTATCTATCTATCTATCTATCTATCTATCTATCTATTCTAATTAATCTATCTATCTGTCTATCTATCTATCCATCTATCTATCTATCTATCTATCTATCTATCTATTCCTTCTATTTCTTCTATCTTTCTATGTATTTGTCTATCTATCATTTTTTCACTCTACCCATCCAGCCATCCATCCACGTATCTTCTTGTCTATCTATGTATCTGCCTTTTTTTCTTGTCTCCTGGCCCTGCTCTCCTACCCGAAACCGACCCTAAACCAAACTACACCCACCCTAAACCAACCCAAAACCAACCTACAAACCAACCTTGAAACCGACCCTGCGCAACTTTTAAACCAACCCTAAACCCGCCCTAAACCAACCCTAAACCAATCCTAAACCCACCCTAAACCTACCCTAAACCTACCCTAAGCCAACCTAAAACCACCCTAAACCCAACCTAAACCTACCCTAAACCAACCAAAATCCACCCACCGCAAACAAACCCAAAATCCTCCCTAAACCCACCCTAAACCCATCTTGTCTATTTATGTATCTATCTATCTATCTATCTATCTATCTATCTGACAGATCTATTTATTCACTTGTTCATCTATCCATCTAGCAATCTGTCCATCTATCTGTCCAATCAATCTTGCTATCCATTCTATTCACCCACATAGCTATCTCTCTCCCTCACTATCAATCCATCTATCTATCGACCTTGCGAAAGTGCTGCGCTTGCCAGGGCACTTGCGCATGTGCGGGTCAACGTGCTGCGCAATCCCCCGCCCCCGCCCCTGAAACGCAACAACATGGCTTCCCAACTTCTTGAAGCTCCGAGCGGTTGCGATCACGCGGGTCCGCAGTGATTTTGAAGCTTTCGACACCTTTCAAGACCAGCCCCTCAAGGCCTTGTTTTCATTTCAAGGCCTCCCAAGGCCTCTCGAGGCCCGTGTGAGGCCTCGTCTTTGGCGCAAATCACATTGTAGCGCAACACATTCGAGGCCTGCTTGTCCAACCACCACGCCGAAGGCTCGGTGTGGCTGAACCTGAAGCGGACAAGCTCTTTCAAAGTTTAAGTTCAGAGTCAGGCTTCAAGCTTGAAAGACTTTTTAAGTTCCCAAGCGTTTCGCAAGCTTTCCGGGCTTGTTGAGGCCTTGTTGCCAGCGTTTCGAACCCTTGCAAGGTCTTGAGGCCGGCTCGAGGCCTCATTTTTTCTCCAAGCCACCCTAAGTGCACAAAATTCGAGGCCTACGGGCATTGAACTCTTACAATCTATTTTGAGGAACCTTCAATGTTACAACATTGCCGCCAAACAGAATTTTGTTCCGGGGCTTTTCCAAGCTACAGCCAGGTTGCTGAGCTCCGCCACAACGAAGAAGTGGTCAAAGCGAACAGCCGCCATAAATGCTTTTCCAAACACAATGTTGAAGGTTAAAGACGAAAGCACTTAAGCGTCTTGGCCACGCGATACAAATACCGTGCGAGATGCAAGTAAGCGTGCAAATGGACTTGCCGCGGAGAAGCCTGCTCCAGGGTGGCCCACACTCCCACTATAAACCTTTTGAACAGCTCTTCCAAGACTCTTCTTGTCAGTCAGTTGCACGGCCGGGAACTACAGCATGCGCAATTTAGATGAAGGCTACCGCTGCTAAAAAACTTCTCCTTCTATTTGCAAACGCAGCGATTAGCGTGCAACTCAGCAGCGTTCAGGCTCCGGAAGTAAAGCTGTTTTTGCCCTACGGCGGCTGTTACGTTTACCCACAGAACACCAGAGCAGTTCTGACAGGTCTACGTGATGAGTTAGCCCCCGTGTGCTTAAATGGTTACTTGTTTGCGCTGGATAAGAGGGAAGGCCACATCTTTAAGTTCCGCACGCATAGTGTCCACTTTGGACATTTGATTTCCATACGCTGAACTTCCGACAGGAAAATGCGAACCAATGCATGCTGTGTCTTACCGCCAACAAATGAACACAATCTGCCAGCGTAAGTCTGCTTCTTCGCACTAGGTGCTGGTTGAAGTGGTAATTTGCAGCGGGAGCACCATTGAAATTTCTGATCGTCCAAAACCACCTTCTTGGAAATGCCTATTTGGAAAATATCTGGCTTCAAAAGGCTTGGCCAGCGCGTGCCAAGGAAAAGAAATTACTTTCTCTTGCGGGTTTTTCACGCAAACACGAAAGCTATGCACCAAGCGTGCGCAGGCTTGATGCTTACAAAGACTGTTCTGGCCCAAAATGCGTTTTACAGGCAGTGAGATATTTAAGCGCGGCAGCCCCCTGCTGCGAGTTGCGCAAGGCACAAGCGGAGCTTGACGATGTGGATGGCGTTTCATGCGTGACTTGCCCCCTTAGATGCAGA